ATGCCTTTCCTTCCAGCTCTACCTGGGAGAGAATGATGGTACCCGTCAGGGATATGGAGATAAATAGGCATTGATAAATATTAAAAACATCGGTTTAAAACTTAATTTAATAAAGTACATTAAAATAGTACTGAAAACAATATTAAGTAGCATTCACTGAAAGGTCACTGTGTGTGTAGAATGTTGTCCACACAGAGTTCCATCCGGGCTGGCTGATGGAGAGTATTTTTTTTTTTTATTTGTGGGTTTAATATTCCAGACCTTTGTAATGATAGCTTGGATAATGTATTGTGAGATCCAGTTTAGAGAAAACTGTTTATATACTATATATTTCTTTTCTCTTAGATCCTTTTATTTACTGAATGACACAAGCATATTTCTTAATGAAGGATTTGTTTACAATTTTTTTTTTTGAGATACGGTCTCACTGTCTCCCAGACTGGTTGAACTGCTGAGCTCAAGAGATCTTCCCGTTTTAGCCTTCAGAGTAGCTAGGACTATAGGTACATGCCACCATGCCTAGATAACTTAAAAAAAATTTTTTTTTTTGTAGAAATAAGGTCTTTCTATGTTGCCCAGGCAGGTTTTAAATTCCTGACCTCAAGCAATCCTCCCACCTCAAATTCCCAATGTTCTGGGATTACAGGCGTGGGCCACCATGTCGATCCTCTTTACAGTTTTTCAAACATCTCTTCCTCTGATTTGTTTAAAAGTTGTTTTTTAAAAAGCTGTTTCCAAATGCTGGCTTTGAATAGAGTAGCTCCATTTTTCTCTATTTATGCCTCAATGTGTTTCACAAAGTCATAAGAACATAAGATGTGCTTCAGACACTTTCCTATGGTTCAGTAAATGTAATGAAAATGTATTTGAGGCTTAAATATTTGTTTTAATATTACAACACATTGGGACCTAAACTCAGTCAGTATTTCCATGCAACCTAATTTCACTATAATGCAAATTTGCTGTTTATATATAAGCTGGTTTTCTGGACTATGAGTGTCTCTCAAAGGAAGAAAGAACTATGGAACACTGACCTATTCCACAAACACTTACTGAGCACTAACTATGTGTCAGGCTAGATACTGGTGACACAGTGGTGAACTAGACTCATGCCTGCAGCTTATAGTCTAATAAGAGAGATAGACATTAAACAAATAATTATTTACTTTGTAATTGAGGTAGGTGCTACATAAAATGGGGACCTAACCTCCTCTCAGAAATTAGCATGAGGAAGTGAAATATAAGCCAAGATGTGAAAGATAAGAAGGAGTCATCCAAGGGGACAGTGGAATGTTCTTGCCAGCATGCAAACGCCCTGATGTATGAAAGAACCTGGCAGGTTCACAGAACAGGAGAAGGCCAGCATGGATGCAGAATCCTGAATGAGGAGGAAAATCAAGTCCAATCAGAAATCAGTCAGGCCAGGGTAAAAATTTGAGGTTTCATCCTAACAGCAATGAGAAGCCTTTGAAATGTGCTAAGAGAGAAGTGATATGATTTTATCTGTGATTTGAAAAGATGGCTCTGATTGCAAGATGCAAAATAGATTAGGAAGAGTGAAGAATGACTGTTGCAATTCTTCAATCAGGAAGATGGCTTTGGATTAGGCCAGTCATAGTAGCGATGAAGATAAGTTGGTAGGTAAAAGAAATATTTGAAAAATTGAGGACTGATTGATAGGGTGTCATGAAATGAGGGACAGGTGATGTGAAGGATCCAGGGAGAAATGATGTCGAGGATCCAAGCTCCTGGAGGGAGGGTAATGCAGTCACGGAGATGAGCTGCACTAGGGGAAAAGAAGGCTGGGGGACAAGACGAAAGATTCAGTCTGAACATACTGACTTTGAAATGACTTTAAGAAATAACTATGGAGACATCAAGTGTAAAGGTGGATACATTGGTGTAGAACTTCAAGAATGCCTGGGCTGTAGACTGTGAGCATGCAGTTGGTAAATGAAGCCGTAGAAATGGATGGCCCAGGAGCAAACCTTGAGGATGTTGCCTGACATTTCAGGTTGACTAGAGGAGGAAATGCTGGCAAAGGAGATTACAAAAGAATCCTCATGTTCAGGAGGAAACCTGTCAGAGTGTGATGCTGCCAAAGCCAGCAGACAACAGCAATTCCAGAAGGAAACTACCAACTATACATTGAACTACATACTGTAGCATATAGTACAGTATGCAGTTTCAGTAAACACCTATTCCACAAGCACTTACTGAGCACATAGTGTAAGTGCTTGCGGAATAGGTAAGTAATCCATAGTTCTTCCTTTCAGAGGCACTCATAGTCTACCACAAATTTGTATTACATTGTAATTAGATTTCATGAAAGTACTGACTGAGTCTAGGTCCCAATATGAGGGATGTTATCCTAATGTGTGGGATGGTGTTAAAACAAATGTGGCTCAGGAAAGGAGCCCTGAGGAGAAGGAGGTAACTACTTTGAGAAGTTTGCTCTGAACAAGAAACGGGGAACAGCAGCTAAGGGGCATGTGGGATCCAAGTAGAGTTGTAAACTTTCGTTTTCTCTTTTGCCTTTGTTTTTATGATGGGGAAACTGGAGTATGTTTAAATGTTGGTCAATAGTCAAGGAGCGATTAAAATACCTCATAGCTTACAGATCCTGGAGAATGGGAGGTGATGAGATCAAGCATAGATGGTGAGGGATTTGCTTTGGAGAGGGGAAAGTGCGCCCCACACTGCCGTGGAAAGGAAGGAGGGGAAGTGCTGGGCAGGCGGTAAGGAGGCGCTCCGTCCACAGGCTCCCGGTCCTCAGTTAGCAGGGCTGAGGCTGCAGGCCAGTGGCAGTGTGGGAGACAGGTGTTTTGGTAACACCTCGTCTGCATGATGCGCATTTTTTCCCCAGGAGAACTTAGTTTTGCAAAACATAGAGCAGCAGGTTGTTTCGGGTGATCCGTGGTTGGCTCTTTCCCACCCCCGCCCCACAGCCAGACGTGATTAAAAAGTCAGAGAGCAACAGAGGATCAAATAATTGATAGAATCTAAGTTAGACAAGGAAAGGCGGTTGTGGCCCCTCAGAGGGACTGAGGAAGAGGAGAAGGGAAATTAGTGGCCTGGAAACTCCACTGACGTTGAAAACATCAGCAGCAGTTGGGCACCTGAGCACACACGTGTAGTATGGGAGGATACGATTTTGTGGTCAGGTGGGGTTTTGGAAACAAAGCCATTTTGGGTGATGACAAGACCCAGAGGGTTTTCTTTGTGTGGCCCAGATGAGTTGGGGGCCACCGGCTCAAGGAAGTGACTGATGTGCTGGGGTGGCAGAGCGGCAGGATGAGCACATGGGGCCTGAGTGTGCCTGAGCAATTGCCAGAGTTGGGAGAGAGCAGAACATGGAGAACCAGTGCCGAAGTCTTCCCTGAGTGATGTGGAAACAGTGGACAGATAGTGGAAGCCCAAGGCAGCAGACTCAGAAGAGGAGCCTCAGAGGTGTGGCCCCGAGGAGACACAGAGAGGAAGACTGGGCTGACTTCCCTACTTCTCTGGAGGCATGTGACCCCTGTGGAGGGCTGTGGGAAGCCACGTCTTCAGCCCCATGAAACCAGGACTGGGAAATGGGGAATACTGAGATGAGGAGGAAGAAGTAGGGAATTTGTTGGACAGGAAATGGAAGTCTGAGAGCTGGGAGGGGAGAAGGAAACTGTGGGATTGTCAGGGAAGTGAGGCCCAGAACAGCAGGAGGTATGAGATGGGACGTTCCAGGAACTGATACGTGTGAGTGTGCGTGTGTGTGTGTGCACATGTGTATGTGTGTGTGTGCATGTGTGTTTAGGGGGCAGAGAATACTGAGGAAAATCACAGAACAGGGCATGGAGGTTTTGCTACTGATAATATTTAGATGTAGACTGCCTCTTCAGATTGACAGACTGGTTGGCATGGTTAGAGTACAGTGCAGTGCAATGCAGTACAGTATATAGTACAATATAGCACAGTGTAGCTTACAGCATGGTGTAGCATAGAGTATAGTATATAGTACACTGTAGCTTATGGTGCAGTGTAGTACATCGCATAGTATATAGCACAATGCAGCATATAGTGTGGTGTAGTGTATAGTACAGTATAGTGTATGGTATAGCATATAATACAGTGTAGTGTATAGTACAATATATAGTACAGTGTAGCATATAGTACAGTGTAGCATATGGTACAGTATAGCAGTAGCATAGAGTAGCATAATGTCAGTTCTTTCTTTGCCTAGCTTTGACAGCCACTTGAGTAAGTGTGCTGTAGGTCCATGTTTGCCATCTTCAGCACACCCTGTTTACTAGCCTGGTTTCTGTCCAGTATTCCAAGATCCTTGCTGTGGTTGAGTGGAGGCTTCACCGAGGACCAGAAAGCAGACCTTACATACTCGCGTTCTCAGCTCGTGGCTGTATTGCCTATGCCATTATTAATCTCTGAAAGAAATAAGTGAATGTTCTCGTATCTATTTTTAAAAATTTCTCACGCCTGCAATCCCAGCACTTTGGGAGGCCTAGGCGGGCAGATTGCCTGAGTTCAGGAACTTAACACCAGCCTGGCCAAAGTGGTGAAACCCTGTCTCTACTAAAAATACAAAAATCAGCCGGGTGTGGTGGTGCACGCCTGTAATTCCAGCTACTGAGGAGGCTGAGGCAGGAGAATTGCTTGAACCCAGGAGGCGGAGGTTGCAGTGAGTCGAGATGCGCCACCCACTCCAGCCTGGGTGACAGAGTGAGACTTAGTCTCAAAGAAAAAAAAAATTTCTTCAAGGCCTATTCATTTATTCCTTTTCCTCTCTCTCTGATATGGACTGTGCTATTAGTGTTATTTATTACAGCACTGGTATTTTCTGCTAAACAATTTAATATTACTAATACATCGTAAGTCACCTGTAAGTGGTTTTTGGTGATGGTTTGTTTTTAATTTGTAAAGTCTTAATTAGCATCATTTACATATTTCAGATTCGCAGTCTTCTTTAATGAGAGTGTTTTCAAGGCATGTTCTTTTACTTCCTGAAGGAACGAATGACCTGAAGATCCTTCCAGGTCAAGCTGTCTGTCCTACTCCCGGGTGCCGAGGAATAGGCCATATCCGTGGTCCACGTTATTCAGGACATCACAGGTAACATTTTTCTTACTTAAGTTATTTCCCGGATGAATGGAAACATTCTGCAGATTAGCAGCTACGTGGAGCATCATGAATGAGTCTCATGGAGCCAGCTGCCCCTGTGACACTCCCACGTCTGTATTGCCGAGGCCCTTCCTTGACGTTTTCCTCTGCCTGCATCTCTGCCCTTCTAGAACCTTCTTGGAATTATGAGGTGTTTCCCAAACCCACTTCATGTCCCAGAATCTCTGTTTTGTGACAGTTTTCCTACCAAATGCACACTGTCATACACCCCCACTACCCTGTCCTGGGACTTGCTTTCTTCCAGAGAAATTCCAGAGCCTCTTACCTTTTCCACTCATTTTCTATTTCCTGCCTCTATTTCCTTTTCTCTCTTTCTTATTCATTTGGAGTTAATTCTATAAAAGAATAGAAAACTAGTGTGAAGTAATGTTGCAGAATATGCCCAGGTTTTAAGTATTTGACAGTATCCGTATGAACAGATGTTGCTTTTAAAGAAAAATAATATAAGTAAATATGTAAGCCTTTGCTTCTTTTTCTATCCTCATCAATTGGTAAATAATGTATATATACATTATTTATATTGGTGATATATATAAATATATAAATTAAGACTGAAAGAATTAATATCAAATTTGTTCAGATACACAAATATATAAACAAACATCATAGAAAAGCTTATTATAAAGAGAAAAGATTAAGTCATATAATACATGAAGCAAGAACAAATTTGTTTGAATAAAGGGTCTAAGTGTAATACAGGAAGTTCATGCTTTCTCAGGCAATCCTGGAAACTAGTGCCTAAAACATTTTTAGCTGAATCAAAGGAAATGCCACCATAATAGTGATAAGCACTCCTAAATCACATACATGAATATAAATGTGATATGCATAAATCTATTAACACTTAAAAGAAAAAAATATAGCATCCATTAAACAAAAGAAAGACATGGAGACTGCTTGGTGACTTGTGAAAATCTGTGGGACTCAGATTGTGAACATGGAGCTGGACCTGGAGGAGACGTCTTAGTGCTAGCAGTGTCCAGTCTGCACGGATCTGCAGCAACTCAATTCTTGCCGCCTCAGAGGAAAGAATTCGTTCCAGGGCATAAGGCAGAGTGAGAGACTAAGGCAGAGTGAGAGACCAAGGCAAGTTTTTGAGCAAGAGTGAAATGTTATGAAAAAGTTTTAGAGCAGCAGCAAAAGGAAGTAAAGTGCACTTGGAAGAAGGCCAGGAGGGCAACTTGAGAGAGTCAAGTAAGCCATTTAGGCCTTGCCTTGGGGTTGTTATACATTGGCATAATTCCAGGGGTTGCATTTCTTCTGCCCTTGTTACTGGTGGAGGGAGTCCAGGTTCCTCGTGTCTGGCACAAAGAATTGGACAAAACACACAAACAAAGCAAGGAAAGAATGAAGCAACGAAAGCAGAGATTTACTGAAAATGAAAGCACACTCCACAGGGTGGGAGCAGGCCCAAGCAGAGGGACTCAAAATCCCTATTACAGAATTTTAGGGGGCCTTAAATACCCTCTAAAGGTTTCCCATTGGTTACTTGGTGTACACCCTATGTAGATGAAGTAGTGGGCAACAATCAGTCTGATTGGTTGTGGAAAGCAACGAATCAGAGGCTGAAGTGAAGTTACAAAGTTACGCTGCTATGCAAACATCTGATTGGTTGCTGTCCACAACTGGTTGCTGTCTACAACCAATCAGAGATACTTTCAATTTTCCATCTTTCATGCAGAAAAGCAGGGCGTCGGGGGTGCAAAGGGAGTAGCCTCTGGTCCTTTTGTTACTTGAGAGTGGAAAGTTGGGGATTTTCTTTTCATTTAGTTCTAGGGAGTCAGGGTGAATTGGCCTTAGGTTTCCTGCCTCTAGACCCTATTCTCCTGCGTCACCCTGATTCTTCATTGGAGTGGACTGTCCACATGTGCAGTGGCCTGCCAGCACTTGGGAGGGACCACGATATGGTTTGGCTGTATCCTCACACAAATCTCAACTTGAATTGTATCTCCCAGAATTCCCACATGTTGTGGGAGGGACCCAGGGGGAGGTAATTGAATCATGGGGCCCAGTATTTCCCGTGCTATTCCTGTGATAGTGAATAAGTCTCATGAGATCTGATGGGTTTATCAGGGGTTTCCACTTTTGCTTCTTCCTCATTTTCCCTTCCTGCCACCATCTAAGAAGTGCCTTTCACCTCCCACCATGATTCTGAGGCTTCCCCAGCCATGTGGAACTGGAAGTCCAATTAAATCTCTTTTTCCTTCCCAGTCCACTGTATGTCTTTATCAGCAGTGTGAAAACAGAATAATACAGTACAATTGGTACCAGTAGAGTGGGGCACTGCTGAAAAGGTACAAGAAAAATGTGGAAGCAACTTTGGAACTGTGTAAAGGGTGGAGGCTGGAACAGTTTGGAGGGCTCAGAAGAAGACAGGAAAATGTGGGGAAGTTTGGAACCTCCTAGAGACTTGCCAAATGGCTTTGACAAAAATGCTGATAGTGATATGAACAATAAGGCTGAGACGGTCTCAGATGGACATGAGGAACTTGTTGGGAACTGGAGCGAAGGTGACCCTTGTTGTGTTTTAGCAAAGAGACTGGAAGCATTTTGCCCCTACCCTAGAGATCTGTGAAACTTTGAACTTGAGAAAGATGATTTAGGGTATCTGGTGGAAGAAATTTCTAAGCAGCAAAGCATTCAAAAGTTGACTTGGGTGCTGCTAAAAGCGTTCCATTTTAAAAGGAAAACAGAGCATAAAAGTTCAGAAAATTCGCAGCCTGATGGTGCAGTAGAAAAGAAAAACCCATTTTTTGAGGAGAAATTCAAGCCAGCTTCAGAAATTTGCATAAGTAGCAAGGAGCCTAATGATAATCCCTAAGACCACGGGGAAAATGTCTCCAGGCCATGTCAGAGACTGTTGTGGCACCCTCTCCCATCACAAGCCTGGAGGCCCAGGAGGAAACAGTGGTTTTGTGGGCTGGACCCAGGGTCCCTGTGCTGTGCGCAGCCTAGAGTCTTGGTACCCTGTGTCCCAGCTGCTCCAGCGGTGACTGAAAGGAGCCAACATAAATCTTGGACTATGGCTTCAGAGGGTGGAAGCCCCAAGCCTTGGCAGCTTCCAGATGGTGTTGAGCTTGTGAGTACACGGAAGTCAAGATTGAGGTTTGGGAACCTCCGCGTAGATTTCAGAAGATGTATGAAAACGCCTGGATGTCCAGGCAAAAGTTTGCTGCAGGGGTGGGGCTCTTATAGAGAACCTCTGCTAGGGCATTGTGGAAGGGAAATATGGGGTCAGAGCCCCCACACAGAGTCCCTACTGGGGCACTGCCTAGTGGAACTGTGAGAAGAGGGCCACTGTCCTCCAGACCCCAGAATGGTAGATCCACTGACAGCTTGTTCCATACACCTGGAAAAGCTGCAGACAGTCAACACCAGCCAATGAAAGCAGCCAGAAGGGAGGCTGTACCCTGCAAAGCCACAGGGGTGGAGCTGCCCAAGACCATGGGAACCCACCTGTTGCATCAGTGTGGCTTGGATGTGAGACTTGGAGTCAAAGGAGATCATTTGAGAACTTTAAAATTTGACTGCCCTGCTGGATTTCAGACTTGCATGGGCCCTGTAACCCCTTTGTTTTGGCCAATTTCTTCCATTTGGAACCATTGTATTTACCCAATACCTGTACCCCCATTGTGTCTAGAAGTAACTAGCTTGCTTTTGATTTTATAGGCTCATAAGCAGAAAGGACTTGCTGTGTCTCAGATGAGACTTTGGACTGTGGACTTTTGGGTTAGTGCTGAAATGAGTTAAGACTTTGGGGAACTGTTGGGAAGGCATGATTGGTTTTGAAATGTGAGGACATGAGATTTGGAGGGGTCAGGGGTGGAATGATATGGTTTGGCTGTGTCCCCTGTGAAATCTCAACTTGAATTGTATCTCTCAGAATTCCCACCGTGTTGTGGGAAGGACCCGGGGGAAGTAATAGAATCATGGGGGCTGGTCTTTCCCATGCTATTCGTGTGATAGTGAACAAGTCTCAGGAGATCTGATGGGTGATGGGTTTATCAGGGGTTTCTGCTTTTGCTTCTTCCTCATTTTCTCTTGCTCCCACCATGTAAGAAGTGCCTTTCGCCCTCCGCCGTGAGTATGAGTCCTCCCCAGCCATGTGGAACTGTAAGTCCAATTAAACCTCTTTTTTCTTCCCAGTCTCAGGTATGTCTTTATCAGCAGTGTGAAAATGGACTAATACAGGCCATATGCACAGTGCATTTACTGAAGTTGTGTACATGCTCATTTGAGGCGTTTTCCCCTTACCAGTCGAATGTTCCTAGAGGAAGGTTACGTACCAGTTAAACTCCGCCATTTTGCCTCTTAGCAAACATGCTTGGGTCCACTCACCCAGCTCCTGAGATGTTATCAGGGAGCTGCTGATCACCAGTTTCAGGTGTTTCTTCTCTATTGGGAGGGTGCCTCTTCCTGGCACCAGCTGTGACCAATTATTATTTTAGATAGACAGTTTAACAACCACCTGACCATCACCTGATGGTAGCCTGGCATTCCTGGGGTAGGGGGCCTCTCCTGCCTTGCTCACGTCTGCCTAGCTGCCTCCATTTTTTTTTTTCACAATCTGTTCAATGTCTTGTACCTGCTGTAATATTAGTGCTCTGTGAGGGGAGGAGGAAATGAGGAAAAAGGAAGGATGAAGGACAGAAGGGGAGAGGAGGGGAGAAACCCATGATTGGGAGGGTGCCCTGTATTAGCGAGGACTCTGCTGGAGTTGATGGAGCCACTTCCTAGACAGCACTAGGAGTATATAGCTATGGAGATCGTCTTCCCTCAGGCCTTCTGTTTGTGTGTGGGGGGAGTGTGTGTATGTGTGTGTGCGTGTGTGATCTAGAGCTGTAACACCCCACTATGGTACTCGCTGGTCACCTGCCTCTGTGTTCCTCAGGCACGCTTGGCAATATTTCAGATGCTCAGCAGCCCTTGTG